TTTATTTGGCTTGTGGCTTTTATTTGGTGTGTGTTGGATTAACTAGCCCATATTTCCTTTGCTTTGTTTTGTCTTCCAGCTTGTGTGTACAGATGTATGACTGGTTCGACTACCACGGTCATATGTGCATCTCTTTTGAGCTGCTAGCTCTGAGTACTTTTGACTTTCTGAAGGAAAACAACTATCTACCCTATTCAATTGGTCAAGTCAGGCACATGGCCTACCAGCTCTGCCTTGCTGTGAAATGTAAGTGTTCTAACTTTTGTTTGAGAAAGATCAGCACTTAATTATGATTAAACCAGTGCCTTTATCATGCATCTTAATTTATTGTTGCAGTAAATGATTATAAAAACGTTCAGAAATGTCTGTTTTTCACATTTAAAGTGGTTAAACAAGAATAAATTGGTCATTTTTGGTGGAAGAAAATGGCATCCCTGGGTTATATGTTGGATTTTTTAATTATCTGATTTTGTATCAGATAACAGGACTATTTTTTTTAACATGTATGTTTTACTATCATATTTTATTCTTTGTTTTTATTCTATTTAAGCATTCTTTTTACCATATGTTTTTACTTTTACTTTGTAAAAGTTACTGAATTAAAGTGTACCAATCGAATTACTCATGAGAAAAGCGTTTGTATTACAAGCTTAAATGTCGTGATTCCTTTATATTTTTGTGACTAAATCAGCTTTCTTTTTTCTCTTTTCTCTAGTTCTTCATGACAATAAGCTCACCCATACAGATCTGAAGCCAGAAAACATCCTGTTTGTCAACTCCGATTTTACAATGACCTATAATGTAGAGAAGGTAAGTGAGCACCAACTCGATAGAGCACTCTAAGATCTCTCAGTCCTGCTAATACTATATCTTTCACTAATTTATAGTTCCATATATATATATATATATATATATATATATATATATATATATATATATATATATATATATATAGGTCATATTCTGGGACTTTTTGTTTTGTGTTCTGTAATTTAAAAAGTAATAAGATTATGTCTCGAAGTTGGCTTTTTGTATATACAACTGCAATAAAAAGTAAAACTACACAAGTTTTTGTTGGATTCATTTAAGGATATACTTTCCAGGCCTTTGCATTATTCAGTGATCTTGTTTATTTATTAAATGTTTATTTTTTCTGTATTGCAGAAGCGAGAAGAGCGAACTGTGAAAAGCACAGCAGTACGAGTGGTGGACTTTGGCAGTGCAACTTTTGATCACGAGCACCACAGCACCATTGTATCAACAAGGCATTACCGTGCTCCTGAAGTTATATTAGGTGAGTCCATTTAAGATGTGATCAATATATCTATTAGTGATGGAATTAGATTAAAATGCTAAGCATCTGTAATGATTTAATTGTATTAATCATATTTTAATTGAAAAGTGTTGAATAAATAAACAGCCTTTTCAATGCAGAATTCCTTTTGCTCCTATTTTGTAGAATAAATAAATAGGAGCACAAGAAAACATAAATTTATTTATTTTTATCAATTATTTAGGTTATTCAACCTTCAGATTGGTTGAAAGGCAAAATTTACCTTTTTCTGAAACTCCTAATATTTAATGCAACTTCCTTGAAAGACATAATTTGACCAGTATAAGCATTCATTAAAGCACATCTCCTTCTATTTAATACGGTAAAAATTATACAGCAACAAGACACACAATGCTGCCTTTAAGAGTTTTATTTCTCAAACAGACAACAGAACTATAACAGTTGATTTCTGCATAAAGCATTGTATTTCAGAGCTTAAAATGAATATCATTTGATATATACTTGAAAAATGGTGGGACAGTATGGCTCATGTTCTATTTTATTTTGTTTAATTTTTTATTTATTTATTAAATGCGTTCTGTGTAATTTTTTTGTCTACTTTTAGAACTTGGTTGGAGTCATCCCTGTGACGTCTGGAGTATTGGCTGCATCCTGTTTGAGTACTACTTGGGTTTCACCTTATTTCAGGTAAACAAAACGGCTCTTCGGCCAGAATTTAATCAAATTTTTAAACTAAGTATTCATTTGAATGTGTATGATATATTTCAATGGCTTGGATGTTGTATGGACAGCTGGGGAAAAGAACTATCTAAAAAAATGTATTTTATTTTATAAATTGTCATTCTTCTTTCTTTTAGACTCATGACAACAGAGAGCATTTGGCCATGATGGAAAGAATCCTGGGTCCAGTTCCCTCTAGGATGATTCGTAAGACCAGGTAAGAAAATGGAAAGTCAGTTTGAGACACTAATATTTTCAAATGTTGAATGTTTCTCTTCTATCTAATCATTAGGAAACAGAAGTATTTCTATCGTGGACGTCTAGATTGGGATGAGGCCTCGTCAGCTGGAAAGTATGTCAGAGAAAACTGCAAACCATTAAGGGTAAGTCTGCCTAGTTAGAAGAAATAGGTACAGTAACGGTTCTCAAGAAACGGGGATGGTTTTGTTGAATTGTACTGCTTTTACTTACTGCTTTTTGTTTTGTTTTAATCAGCGGTATCTGCTGTCGGAAGCAGAGGAGCACCACCAGTTGTTTGACCTCATTGAAAGCATGCTGGAGTATGAGCCCTCCAAGAGGTTGACGCTGTCAGATTCTCTCAAACACCCATTCTTCGAGAACAGTGGCACCAGCGACGCATCAGGCAGCAAGAACTGGGAGGGGAACAGGGACATCAGCCGGTGACCCCTGCACTTCAGAGACTGATCCAGAGGGGAGGTCCAGTTCCTCTCTATTTGGAGCAGCTGAACTCCTAAACCTGGACTGGAGGTTTATTTTGTTTTTTTGTTGGAAGTTCTAAAGCATGGACCCCTGAACTTCCTGCATCTCCAGCTCAACCCCTCTTGTTCATCTCTGCCGGCACAAATGGCATGTCTTTTTCTTCTGTGTTTTTTTTAAGCAGAGAGATCAGACTTAGAAATAAGACTGGAAGAGAGTTTAATCATTTCCAGTGATTACAGATTTTAATCCAAAGTAGCCCTCTATGCAGCTTCTGTCTTCCTAACGACTTGGGGACACCTTCCTCACTACCATCAGAAGAAAAATGATGGAAATGAACCTTTTCCACATGCAGTGAATAAAATAGGAATCAGTTTGAAAGCAGAGATCTCTCCCAGATCTCAAGTCCAGGAAAAGGGTAAAGAGGAGATAGAGCTGTATATCCAGTAAAAGTTTTGCCCCATAAACTTTGTTCTCTAAGAAGAGCAAATACCTTAAACTTCATCTACACTTCAGTCCACAGCATAGGCATGTATGTCATGTTTTTGTTAATATTGTTAATGAGCCATTGCTTTTGCTTACTTTAGTGTTTTATATCTAAAAGAGTTGTCCCCTCCATACAGTGAGACAATGATGTTGGACACTCCCCTTCCATTAGCCTCTCTGGCCTGATATATATGACGCCCGTTTGTTTTGTTTTTCATTGTTTTCTAAGTGTGAGTGTGTTTCTGTGTGTGTGCGCGTGGCCATACGGCTGTGAATGGGATGGGTGATGAGTTCTCTCTCTGCTCTGTAGTTTAGTTGCTCATTATTAATGGGATCATTCTCGTTTTAAACAAAACTGCCTTTTCCACGTTTCACAGAAGAAGTTATGTTACAGTTAAGCACAGAGATCCTGTTGATGGTATTTATTTTCCAGTTTCTGTAGGTCGTAGTCCACATTATCCTCCTGAATGTGACTTTTTTTTGTTTTTTGTATGAAATGAAAGCGTATAATGCTGTATATATGTATTATTGTGTAGAATTAAAGTCTTCTTTGCCAAAGGTTACTAACGAGTTCAGCCGTGTGATAGCAGACATGGGGGTGTTCAATCCTTACTGTGTTAAAGTCCATCTGTTCCTGCATTCACAGCTGGCTGATCTTAAATGTGGTGGGAAAACAATCTCATTTTAATTACTTCTAATTCTCTTAAAAAAACAATAAATAGTTATTTTGAACTTAACATTTGATTCAATAACACTCATAATAAATATGTTTAAGCTAGTAGATATTTTGGCAAACGAGAGGCTTATTTAAGTGGTGGTGTCTATTTAATTATTTCAGAAAATAATTTTGACTTTATTCCTTCCCCTAAATAAACTCAGCAGCCTTGTCATGATCCAGGGACTAAGAAACGCGGACGATCTGCACCGAGAGAAGTGGAGGACGCAGCGCACCATGTCCATCTGTTGGTAATCTTTATGTTGCTCGATTAAGCTCACATTCTCATGATTCATGTCTCAATATTTAAGCAATGTGTAGCTCAGGTTTAGGGACCTTTATAATAAAATTGATGTTATATCTACTATGAAATCACCTTTGCATTAAAGATACACTGCATTTTAAAGTATTCATGCCCTTAAAAGTTGTAGAACCATCTAGGATCCCACCTTCCAGTCTTAGGTGGTATGCATACCAGCTTTAAACATTTATACAGTTTTTGCTAAATATTTCAGGATCAATCAGATAGGAATGAGGATCTGAGGATGTTGAGTCTTTATCCAGATTCCTGTTTGGATTTAGGTCTATGCTTTGTGTTTTAACAGATGACCATCCTTTGATCCAAACCATTTATAGTAACTGGCTCAAGCTAAGCGTCATCATCTGCTGAAGGTCTCAACAGTGTTTTGGCCTATTTGGCTCCATCTACCTATCACTCGACTAATTCTATCATTGCTAAAACTATTTACCACACTGTCATAATATATAACATCCATTGTAATCTTACTTCAGATAGTGTGTGGGGCGTTTGGTAAAAGCATGTTTTTTCAGTCATCTGAGCAGAGTGCTATCTGCAGACATTTTTATTTAGCTTATATTAGTGGAGCGGGGTCTAAGCACAAAACATGTCACACTTATGCTCTACTTGTTTCTATCATTGGGAAATGTGTGGTTTGCTGCATAAATGTTATAAAAATATAAAGTCAAATGATCACAGGTTGTTATACTTTTGCAGAAATCTTATTAGATTAAAATCTACAGATACAAAAAATGTTTTCCTTTTTTTTTTTTTGGCAGTTTGAAAGATACATGTATTTAGTTAGATTTCTCTCCATAAGAATAGTAAGGCCTTTGCGCAGGATTATTTTTTGAAGTGAGGATCAAGTAATTTCTTCCTGGACCTATGATTCAACAGAGTTCCTTCAGTCAACGAACTAGTGAATGAAATGAGTCATTCAACGTTGCTATGTGGGAGCCTAATGCTTCACGTCAATGAAAAGACACATCCGGAGAAAAAGACGTCATCCAAAGGTTGCCTTCCATCCTTGAGTTTCTCAAAGCTCTGTCTGGCCTCAAATGACACAGTTTCATCAATTGTTCTATGACGTTTTCACAACCAAACTATGATTATTAAATAAAATGCTATGTGGTTTTGAAAAGCCCTTTTAATGCTTCATATTGATTTACGGCGTTTTTTTTTCTTACCAGCCAACTGTAAACAGACAGGTCTTTTTCCGGCCCAGATTTGTCTTCAACTCTTGTTAATGAGATAAACGTCTTATGCATTTGCAGGTAATCCTATTTCAAGACCAGCAAAGTCACCAGTTGAACCGTCACTAAGTCCAGACAGAGGAGGAGTGTAGACAAAGAGAGCAGACAGCGATTCGTCAGCTGGACATGGTGCATCTACAGATATAACCAACATCGGAACTGAACAGGTCAAAACTTATCACAGGTCAGTAAAGCTTCTTATATAAATAACCGAATAATAATAATAGATTATATTGAAATACTTTCTCGATGTTTTACAATTTGTATTTCCCCCCCCTCCAGGCTGACTTTGCCTTAAAGCCAGACAGAGAACTCCTGTAAAAATCTACACACCCTCTAACGTCCAACACACATACTCTAGAAATGGATTCCCTCATGTCGCTTGGTGCTCCTCTGAAGCAGTTTACCAGCTATGTGTCTGGCACAAAAAACACCAAAAAGAGAGGGGGCAAGGGGAGTCAGTCCGTCCGAAGGTTGAGCATCACTCGCAGGAAGAGCGTCAGCAGGAGGAGAAGCCTTCCATGCAACAGCCAGAAGGTCCCAGACTCCTGGCTCAGGGTGTACCAAGAAGAACTGAAGAAGGAGAGGTATAGAAAAAAAGTCTGATCTATGTGAAGAGGATGAACTAGTTTCATTAACTCCAAGAGAGGCAATTTTTTATGTTAAAAAATCAGTATGAATAAGCCAGTAAGATTTATCCACACATTACTTTCCTGTTAAGACTCTTGGCCAGGCAGACTGAGCTTAGTAGGGATAAGGCTGTGTGTTACATGAATAAGCTACTTGCCCATGTGCCACTGCTAATGCTGCTCTGTGCTGTTTGCCAAAGGAAACGTCAGCAGGCCATGCTGGCTAAGAAAAACGCTGAAAGAAATGTGCGGAAAACTCACTTCAGGAGTCACCACTGCCTTCCAAGGGTAAACAGAGTTCCAAGAGGAATTTATTTTGCTGTTGATTTTGTTACGTTTTGTTTCTGATGGTGTCTTCTGTTTATAGCAAACCACTGCTGCCAGAAAACCTCCACCCAGAAAGGAAGACTCCATCTTTGGAGCCTTCCAGGGCCTCAGTCTGGACGGTCTGACAGGAGGCGCTGCTGGACCTCCTACAGGAGGTGGAGGAGATCAGTGCAAGGTTATGTGAGGTGCGACAGTTGAAGGTTCGGGGGAAGGATCTACAACAGGAGAACTGCTGCGGATATATCCGTTTAAAGTGACCGATTTCTGTTTTGTGATAAAAGCAGGAATGCTTTATTTGTGTAGCATTCAGCTTATGCCATGTTTGTACACTTGAAAAGTCTGTGGACTGTATTCATGCATTTGCCAATCCAGCACATCTTTGTAATCATTTTAGCAAAAATCTTTTTTTTTAATTAACTTAGATTTACAGCTTGAAATCCAAAGGAATGAATATGTTTTGTATTTCTCATGCTACATAAATTGTAAACAATACACCTTCAAAAATGTTTGGTATCTTTATTTGAACAACACATCTTCAGGTTTAATATTCTGATGATCTCAGGTCAGTTTTAAAGCAGGTTTACTGAAAACTAGTAGGTTTTCTAAACCTGAAATCAGGGAAATAGTTTTCCATTTCACAAGTTTACTCAACCTCTTTTTCTGTTACCGTGGTAACATTTTCCTCTGGTTAACGTGGTCAGGAGCACTCAGTCAGCAACTCGGTGTCCTCTGTCTCTGCTCTCCTTAGAGCTAATCATGTATTATTTCTTGATTTAGTCAGATTTTTGTCATAGTTTTGTGCAAAAAATAACAAAAAAATCTTTACCTTTGTCCGTTAGACACATTAGGTTTTAAAAGCAAATATTGCATGTCCTGTTGATGAGGATCTTATCAAAGAATGATCAGCATTTTTTCCACAATTTATTTATTAATAGGGAGAGGATTCTGCAACATATGTGGATCATTTATTTTTTTATAGTACATGAAGAACTACTGAAATTATTTTTGGATTACACATAAATTAATTCTATGGGGAAAAATTAACTACTCCAGGGTTAGGATTAATTCAGGGATAGCAACCTACTGAGCCCAATGGGACAATCTGACACCTGTCGAGTTAAAAAAAATATGAGCGCTGAGAGTTGATATTATAGGAAGAAAAGGCTTTAATTTCACTTTGCAAAGGAGAACATACAACCAGCCTAAATGCAGCTCAGTGATGTTCTGAGGCTGCAGCATGCCAACCCCTGCATAAAAAGGGGACTACCCACACATTAACATTTCCCAAGAGAAAACACTTTAGCTCATCAAAGGACAGAGATGACAATTGTTTTCTGTTCACACCAGGATGTGAGAATCTTGACTTGTTCCCCCCTTATCTAACCTACAGTAGGGGGAAACTTCCTTTCAAAAGTCCTTCCTTTCCTTTCATCTCAGCAAGGCTTCTAAGTAATCATTTTTATTGAGGAAAAGAGAAAAAACAGACTTTAACATCACTGACAAACAGGTTAAAGAAAAATACCATTCCACACACCATTCTGTGGGACTGATAACCTTTAATAATGGCCATGTATTGTGATGATAACGTCTGAAGTGGCTGCAAACAGACACTAATGGAAGATAGAATCAAAATGACGAGGAACCCCGTGAGAAGATGCACAGGTCACACCTGTTGGAACAGGTTTTATTCTTCAACTTCCCCTGCTGACAAGTGATGGCTCCTAAATAACCACATAGATCCAATACCGTTCAAGCAATAAATTTTCCCTGTAATGTGATGGTGGTCACAACAGCCTATAGCTGGTCGTTTTTAATATATATTAGTTTAACTGAATATTTATTTCACATATCAGAAAAAGCATTTTTTCCTTGTCAAAATGACCATTTCAAACAAAATGACATTCTTTACATCTAGAATAAACATTGTGGGTATCTAGAAATTAATTAAAGAACTCCATATTCCTATTATTACTGGTCAGTACCGGTATTTGTATTATTTTGACTATGAACATAAATACGTATTCAGTCAAACTGATAAATGTCCAAACAGCCACTTAAAATATGTAAATATAAGTATAATTTTTACTAATATTTTGTTTTTACTTTCTTAGATTCAGTTTTTGCTGCCAAAATTTATATAAACCTATGAATTAACTTGAACAGCGCTATTTCTTTGTTGCCATAGCGCTGTTTAAACATTCTCCAATTATTTCTTTCATTTCTGCATAAATTTTTTTAGTTCCAGTGATGAGAAAAATAGGCACTTCCTGTCTTCATGGTAACTCGTCGAATCCAGCATGTGTTCATCCCTGAGGGGACCTAATTAAGAGTTAAACTAAATCACCGCAGTCTTTGTGAAACTGAAAAATACCGTTTCCAACCTTAGGCTACATTATTTCAGAGCTGAGGATTTGAGTTTGTTAAACCTGCTTTATTGAAACAGACCCCTGGGCATGAGTTCTTTAACAGTAAATGCAGCATTTTACAGTGCTGTTTAGATCTTATTGTAAATAATTTAAAGGTTGGATTGGTGTCATATTTCAGACATGCACTCTCCACCAGCAGCGGCTGTTGCTCTCTAAAACAGGGGCGGTTCGATGGTGTTAAATTCAAATGTCGAATATTTCATTAGAAAATGTTGAAACACATGAAACATCACTAAAATGGGTGAAAACAGCTGTTGTGAATCTCTCTGAAATAAACTCCAGAAACCACGGCAAGCGTTCAGCACACAATGACTTCTGACTGATCAATTTTTTTCTCTCCTAATCATAGGGAAAACCTCTTCGCTATCTGGCTACTGCAGGTCAAAAACCCTCAAATATGTTTTCCAACCAGCTTCAAGCAGCCAGCTTCACAGACCCACTTATAGGCTGAGCTTCACTGGCAGTGATGTATTTTAGCGTATTATCCAATCTCGAGTCTCCTTTCTTGCTGCTTTGCTCAATAGACCGAGGCCAATACCTCAATAGGGGGTTCTAATAGAGGTTGACAGGCAGCATCCTGCTGCTCCAGAGAGGAGATGGTGTCTGAGAGCGGGCTCAACAGCTGAATGATGCGCATAATACTCATGAAATCAAGCGCATTTTAGCTCATATTCGATATAGTTTAATGAGTACATTTGACGTTTGACAATGCATATTTTATGGAATTTACAGGGGAGGTTTAGCCTCCCAAGTATTCAATGAAAAAAATCGCCACTTCTCTCCATAAAATGGGCACCTAGCTAATGGCACAAAGTTCTAACCCTTTAGATCACAGTAAAGACACTGGAGATCAAGCTTTATTGGTGTGTGAAAAACAAAAGACATTATGCTTGAGTTACATTAGGGGAAGATGTATCGTCTAGATCTAGATCACAAGTATGTACAATAGAAAATGAAGTACAAAACTAACATTTGTAAGGGTAAGGAACTTGTCATTTGACAAATCAGGTTATGACTGTGCTGACTGCAGACAAGGTAGGGCATTCACAGAAGATGACAGTCTGACAGCATCACTCCCTCTGTTCCATCTTAACTTTTGGTGGTTTAAGGAAGGACCTGTTCTTTTTCTCTTTTTTTTTTCCTTTTGTTTGGAAGGTCCGCCAACTGTCCACCCGTCCATCTCTTGATTCCTGCATAAGTTTACAATAAGGATTAAAAATAAAAAAGCCATTCAAATGTGGCTAGTGAAAATTGCACCAAGACTCACCTCGAAGTTCTTCTGCCATTCTCTTTCCCGTTTTGCCTTCTCTGCTGCCTCAATTTCTTCTTCTCTTGCTCTTTTCCTGGTCAGACAATTTATCAGGGGTATAAAAAAATCACTGTGAGAACACAAACTTTGGGCAGTCTGACTACGACATCCAAGTTGTAAGAAAATGTTTCTCTTACCTTTCATGCATTTCCTTTGCTTCTCTTTCCTTCCTTTTGATTTCAAGCTCTGCAAAAAGCTTCATAGTTTGTTTGTATACTGCTTGTCTGAACTAAAAGCAAAAAGGACACAACCAAATTAACCATTACATTTATTACAGGAAAAAAAAAAAAGATCAGTTGACCAAATAGTCCCTCTCAAAATCCGACTTACCATATCAGGGTCATCCTCCTCCACATCCTGAGGTTTTCCATCTTTTTTTAGTTGCTTCTTTTTCTGCTTTACCTGCTCAGGACGGATAATATCGTGCAAACGGATGGAAACCACAAACTCATGAAATCTGTCTGCAGTTCAGCCGAGACAGATGCCACTCACCATGTGTTCCACATATTCCTTTCCAGCTTGGATCACATCTACTGCCCTCTTCTTCTGCTCGGGCTCCAGTAAGAGTTTGTAGGCCTTGTCAACAACTGAAAACAGATCACAACAAATAGCAGCTAGCCAAAATGTATACATTTGTACACATAGTTACCAATTTAGCTCTAACAATTACCTTAAAAGTATATTACAATAATTTTAAAATACACGCGAGATATCTGGACAGAAATAATCATACCTTCAAAGGCTCTCTGTGCTCTGTCAGGATCATCCTGGTTTTTGTCTGGATGGACCAAAATCGATAACTAGGCAAAAAAAAAAAAAAAAAGATTAGGGTGGGAAAAAATTACATTGAAGCTAATTTGCACCTTACCCAATTTGTACATCAGTTTCATATCCATATATTAACCATTTCACCATTTCATATCGTTCTCCTTATCTAGCTAAGCCATAATTATCAATGTATTTTTTAAATAAATGTTCATCGAAACTATACATAGTTTCTCAATATTTACAATGACACTAATTACTAAACGCAAATATAATCAGTTTGGGCCAGTTGATCTATGAGCGATTATTTAAAGGAGTCACACAACCACAAATGCCTAAAGTAGATCATTTAAATGGAGTTGTATGAAATGGAAGTTTGTTTTGAAATGCTTTGCAGCCAAAATATCATGTACAGAAGAAAATGTGAAATGGTGAAGCTTTGAAATAACAGCAACAAGTAAACAACCAAAAACTGTAAACAAATGAAAAAGAATTATGTGTCCTTACAGCTCTAAATCTTTTCTTCAGCTCCTCATCTGTTGCTTCTGGATCAATCTGCAACACCTGAAATAAAGTAAATATCTAATCACATTTAATGCAAAACAACAGCAAATCTCAGACATTCTGAATGTGAGCTAATAAGGATGTGATGTTTCCAAAATATCCAAACTCTTTAGAGGTTCTGACTTGAGAGAAATGGTGTAAAGTGGTTAAAAAAAAAACAAACATTGAATAGATATAATAATAATTTACCTCAAAAGGGTTGAGATTAAAGTACGACGAGCCAGGTCTAAGCAACCTGTCAATCTGCTGCTTGGATGTTAACACAGAATCCCTCTTCTCAATCTGCTTCACCTGCAAAAACAGATCATGGTTTATTAAAAAGGTTTCATTTTTGTCTTTTGTCCGTGTGAATTAATGATCAATATGCTTATCAAAGAAGGAAATTATTTATGTAAAGCTCAACTCAAGAGACGCATTAAACGCCCCATTTAAAATATTTAAATGAATATGAATGCATCTAATAATAACTAACTTAGACATAAATCCCCCCCATCAGCAGATGCTAGCTTTAGTCGTTAGCCAATGCTTCCATACACCAGGCCTGGTCTGACCTGAACCATTGAGCCACCGACATGCAGACTTTAATAGAAATCATTTAATACTGTAGATATTAGGAAATTCTCACATTTATAGCAGTATTTCATTACCTCGGTGTAAAAGCTTTGGAATAATTCATCCGAAACAGTCTGAGAGGAAGATTCTCCTCCAGCGGCCGCCATTTTGCTCAGGTTTACATGTGACGTTTTGGGTCACGTGTCATCCAGAGGATTCCAGACGTAAGGCGTCAACAGGGCTCGGGATCCACGTTGCATTGTGGGACGTCGCGGTCATATTGACGGCTACGCAAACGTAAACATAGCTCTGACACAACGTTGTTGTTGAAAGAAGAGACAGAAGTAGAGAGAAAAAAGATGTTAAAATCCCGAAAAGGATCTGGAATTTACCAGGACACATTAAATAGAGAAGCCAGGGACCGGTATGGTGACAAAATCAGCATTATTAATCATTTGGATCCATATAAAGTTCCAAACAATGAGTGGAGCACCGATGAGCGAGCGCCTATACTTCAAAACAGTTCCGAAGCTACAAGTCCTTGGAGTCTCATATGCAGTTCATGAATGGATGGGTTCAGGAGCTGCAGATCATAAAGCCAGCAGGCAGTGGGAACAGAGTAATTCGTACGAAGGTAAGCTGTGATCAGACGGGCTCTGGAACCTGCTAGTTTAGCAACTGCTAACCGCTAATGCTAACAACCACTCACGCATGTAATGTACTTTTAACTAGCTGCTATGTGTTTCAAAGGTGTAGTTAGTAACGTTAACTGCCAACCCTCCGGGTTTCTCACGTATTTGAGCCTTTTCCCGCTGCCGTTTTTATTATTTTCCCGTAAAATATCCCAACTTTGAAGGAAAGAAACAAAGCAGGCTATAAAATAAAACTGTGCATCTTTAATTTACCAGAATGAAAATGCAGGGAACACACTCTCAATGACATTGGAATACTGTGGAAAGTTATGTTCGGTCGTCTTACAGCCGCGATCCAAGCAAGCCGACGACTCTATATCTCTGACGCTTGGTCTCCATGGTTACGCGTCCAGTCAGGAAAGCGGTGGAAAGTTAACCCATTTTCTATGTTTCCATGGCGATCATGCGTTGAGCTGTTACAGCCCACAATACAGCAACGGTTTACCATGGTTGAAATCAAGTTAAGGTGAAATTAATCAAATTAAAACACGGCTGAGAGGGAGTACAGTACCCGGTAGTCATAGGCAGTAGTCTGAGCCGCGGTAAAAGACGCATTCAACATGGCGGCGACGCGAAGTGCCTACGTCACGACGACCAAGCCCTATTGTCCGATGACGTTAGATTAAACGGAGGATGGAGGCGTGATTTGTCTTTTTCATCCGATCTAGAGGACGAGTCTTGTATTGGATTCAATTAGTTTGAGGGGGAAAAAACGTCAAGCGTTATTTATATATTTTTACAGAAGAGGAAAAAATGCGTAAGTTTAATGCCTGAAAACGGTCCATAAACATTTACCGTACGTATCAACAAGCAACGCGAGATATGAATTTGAATAAACCTGTAATTTTACTGTGGTGGTTCGAAATTAATATTTTGATTAATATTTATAGCTTGAATTATATATATATAAAAAAAAAATTACACACGTCAAATCCTCACAATGTCACCAATTTATCCAAACATCTGAACAAATCAAATTAGTCAATTTCTATCGAGAAAAGCCAGACACATCATTTTAAGAGAATAAATAAGAAAATAAGTAAGGCAGAAGTAAGAAAATAGATTTTATTCAGATTTGAGTTGTAACAAAACAGTCAAACTTTAATACAAATCAAAGTACTTTACATGATGAAAACAAGTACATTTCACTGCTTAATTAAACGTCTGCAGACCAAATCTAGTCATTTCAATTTAGTTTAAATAGAACAGTAAAATGCATCTTGATTTTTTTTTTTTTAACTTTAATTTACAAGCTTTTCTGCATCTCCATAATTGGTCCTGATTGTGTGGATGTAAAGTAGACTTAAACCAGAGGTCATAGGTAGCCTGGTGGTTTAGAAATAATACATCTGTATTGTATTTAATGCAAAGCCACTCAGTAGTTTAAGTCTATTCCCCATGATACGTGTAACTCGTTTAACAAACTTTAGAATGTGGGTATTGCTCTGTATTTCTAACTTAAATGAGGGCAGGGGTAGCAGCAATCCAGGTCAAAAGTGGTCAGACTTTTTAGACAAACTTATTTAGACACTGCTGCAGTAATCAACTGATTATATATAAACACACGGATCAGTTAATCAAGATCCTTCTTGAGACACTAGCTCTTATATCCAATATATCATGTTTGTCAATAAAATAAACAATGCAGATTCAACACATTTTATTTATGTGGTGAAAATTATTTCTTTAAAACAAACAATGTACATGTCATGCTAGAAGAAATAAAAATCTTGATTAAAATGTTTAAACACATTTTGAATCATATCTGTACAAATACTAGCATGGATCGTTTTCCTTTTAAAACAAATCTTGAAACTGGATAACGATGTGGAGAAGCAGGCTGCCAGATGTCTCGTCTCCCCTAAATACAAAGAGAGAAGAGCATTGAAGTTACTCCAATCTGTTCTACAATTACCTTTAAAACTGAAGCTTAAAAAATGCTCTATTTAAATAAGCTAAATATATATATCTTGCACTCAATAGCTGAAACAAGGGTCTTCACCTTTCCCCCCCTCTCTTCTGTTGGAAAGCTATGGAGCCGTTAGATCCAACCCCAAGCGAGTGAACACCTGCAATGGATCAGTCAATGACCAGGTGGAAATCAGCACTCTGTCCAGAAACTAAAACATGTTCAAATAGACAAAAAGATGCTGATGAATCATTACAAACAACTTGACCATCAAAAAAGAAAAAAAAATCTCCCCAAGATATACCCAGCAAAATAACAGGAGCATAATAAAAACATTTTAATTCCAAACAATTTTTTAGTTCATAACAGTGCCTTACCAATTATTTATTTCCAAATCTGTGAACTCACACGGATGTGGGCAGCTCCTTTACTGCCTAGTGACAAGAGGCAACATAAACACACAGATCTGATATGAAAATGTGCTTAAAGGACACTCAGGCATTAACAACTACCCTTTTGTTGCATCTGCCCACACTTCCCGCACCCTACTTTTACCAGGGAATGAATGCAGCCTCCATACTGCCATCTGGTGGTGGTCAAAGCTAAAGACACCTATTTTTTTGTGTCCAGCCATTGTTCCATAACCAGCCAGTCTCTGATGTTTTCAAAGCATGCTCTCCTCTGATATGCAGAACAACTTGGTGAGGAGGTTCTTAGCTTCTTATATACCAAATACATTTCTAATTTAGTCTTTTGTAATTCAGCGTCGGATAAAGCAAATAATCACTGCTCACTTTGCATTTAAGCCGCTACCTCTAGTGGCCTAGGAGGGTAAATGCCCAGCTCCTCCTACTTGCAGAATGCCTCTGCAGACAGCTGCAGTGGTTTTGGTGCAGTGAGCCAAGATTTGCAACAAATACGAGCACGGATTCACTCGCACTATGTCTACAAAATCTTTCTGCACTCTTGCTTTTTATTAAAGTTCCTTCAGAGAGCCATGTTCTAAACAGCCTAAATATTCCACCCAATACCAGAGATAAAAAAAAAAATAAAAAATGTTTTGATCCCTAGAATTTTACTGGACAGAAGTCTTAATCCATCATTTTTGTTTGATTTCCAAAAAGCTGGATTTTATTTGAACTGGTCTTTAGATGGTTCTTCAATCGTGTGATGTTTATTTTGTTTGATCTCAGACCTAATCGGTCTCCGCCAGTCACGTGACTTTTGTTGCTAAGACGCCATTTTAGGTGTAAAAGGTGTAGTGTAAACAACCGCAGCATAGCTAAACGAAGGACTAAAGGCCTGTTTACATAGCAGCCTGTCCAAGATAAGTCATTACAGTTAACATAAGCCTGAAAACAGGGGCGGATTTAGGAAAATCGGTCTCCGCCAGTCACGTGACATTTGTTGCTAAGACGCCATTTTAGGCGTAAAAGGCATAGTGTACCGCGCCCGAGGTAAACAATTGACGTCACTTGGCGGAGACCGATTCAACATGTATGTAAATCATTTGGACATTAGAGCACATCATACCTGGCCGACACCCACGTTTTTCCATTTCATTCAGATTTTCTGTTGGAGGCCAACTTCATAAGCATTTTTCAACAAAAGCAAGTTTACCAGTCTTAAATTAGACTGAAAATGAAGCAATTCAAATAAAAAAGAAAAGAAGACAATTTACTGGTTAAGGTTTAAGGGTAACTGAGCTAATTTTTGAGCAATGACTTCTCAATCCCTCACAGAAAAGGTGCCTAAACTGAAAAGAAATCTCTTCTACAAGCATTTTTCAAAAATCCAATTTAAAAAGAGAACCATACACTTTGTTATAAGTCTCCAAACCATTTTTTTCTTCAATTATCTCTAGATGTACTGTACATAAAGCTGAATGTTACAAAATAAAATATTAAGATTACATGCCTGCTTGATCCTTTTGGTCTTTGTCTTTCAGATTGTCCATAACAGATTTTCAGATGCCGTTTATTTGCTGAAGATCTGCTAGAATACCTAACAATTATACTGTTCTTTTCATTTTTATTCCATTTACTCTGGTTATAAAATTACTAGCCAAAAAATGAGTGCGGGTGTGAGGAGCATATTCAGGATCCTTAAGAAGATCTGGAGAACTGTTGATCAATACAACTTAGGCTGCAAGAACGTTTGGCCCATTACAAGTTGAAAGAAATTAATATCTATAATTGGCATCAAGACTCTTTCTTATAATTACAAAAATCAAGCTTAAGCTTCTCAAGTTAACTACAGGAGAGGAGGCAGTACTCTGTGCAAGGCTGGCTCACCCTCAAGTACTGTTCAGGTGAGTTCCTCATTCTAGTGGTGCCGCTCACTTTGCTTCTCCACCTAGGCAGGTTGGAATAAGAGGACAGACACATGAAACAAAATACAAAACAATGACACCAACAGGTATAGACTAGAGGTACGTCATTTGTCCTGGTAAGCACATTCTCTCAGCCTCTTTCTCTGGGTGAGAGTATGTTTAAAGAATGTTAACCCTTAAAAAACCAAGATCCTTGACGTCTTTAAGAGGGAAAAAAATAGATTGTAAGGGAAAGGGGATGATTCTGGAAGCAAGATCCAGTTTAATCAACTCAAAAAAGAAGATTCAAATCAAAGGTGTGACTTTTAGTGTGCATAACATTTTTAAATTTAGGTATTATATGGTTCTTCATTAGTCAAACTTGTTCTCACCTTTCAATCTATTTTAAGATGCAAGGAATAAAGACTCTACAACTAACTTCATCTTTGAAACAAAATAAGGGCGTTCAAAGAAATATAAACGTTCTGGAAAAGTCATTATTCACCAAATAGTTTTATCATTGCAGCTGCAAAATGCCCAAGGTAAAAAAAAAATAAAAAATAAAAACTGAAATGCAGTTTTTCCAGAGTGATGTATACTGCTTTTGCTGACATATGAATTGCAGAAGGAAACAAAGAGATGGTAGAAAAAGCTTTGGGGATCACTAAGAAATGGGAAAAATGTGTTAACTTCATCTGTGTATGCAGGAAATGCTGTGGTTTTGCCTTGTTAAACTCTGCGATTTATATTAATTTACAGTTCTCCCTGGAGGGGGAAAAATTGACTTTGAAATAAAATCTTATAAATCAAAGGTTATAGATCAAATCACAACACTGAGTTTGAGTTTCTGACAATGGACTGATGCTCATCTGAGTTTTATTGAAACGGAACAAACGTAAAAGTTATAAATACAAATAACATCAGAACAAACTGCTATGGCTCTTAAGGTAAGCCAAACCAATTTCTACTGGGCAAGTTGAAAGAAAACATGGAAGTTATGTTATCAGTTTTAAAAAAGAAAACACAATTTAACTATTTCTAGAAATGCTAGGCGTACACTTCGGACGTTACAAAACTTTTATTCTTTTCTCCTTCGGGCAGATTCTTTTCTCCACCATTGCAAAAAAAAAAAAAAAAAAAGAATACGAAGCTCTAACCATATGCATTTATTTACAAGCATGATCCTAAACTACTATAATAAACCACAAATTAAAAAGGAGTACAAGAAGGGGAAGGGAAAATGGGAGCATGGACAAGAAACTTCCTGCAAGATCATATGTTGTATTAATGTCCACCCAAAATTTGGAGAATGAATGTCCTTTTTTTTTTGTCAGTGTTCATTGTTGGCTTTAAAACAACCAGGAACAAAAATTTACAATAAAATTGTACTGATTTTTTTAAAGATGTGTCCCAATGTAACCGCAGGAGTGAGAAATGACCACAACGGTTACGTTCATTTCTTCAGCCAAAAGGATTTCCAGCCAATCGTCTTGAGCCAATTCTGCAGTCTGTCCATTTTTCTGTGATATATGTATATACAGATATTTTTCATGAGGGATGAAGAATAAGAAGAATAAAAAGTCAATCAAAAATCGTGGCCAATCTCCTTTTTTTTTTCTTTTGTTGTTTTCCTCTTTTTTTTGTGTTGTTGCCAAATACCTTTAGGTGCATCTACTTCCACTGTTGCCCATAAGAATCCTGTGAAAACTCCAGGGTGTCATTACTGTAACCATAGTTACCGGAATAGTCGGCCCCTTGCTGCAGGGGCTGCTGGGCGATGGGCTGGGACCCCCAGTTCTGTTGGTTGTTGGTCTGGCGGCGCTTGGAGTCAGGCTGGTTAAATACGTCGGCCTTCCTCTTTCCGCCAACGTTGCCCCCGCGATTACCTCTGGCACCGCGAGGACCACGGCCCCTCTGAGGCTGGAAAGGTACTCCCCGTCCTCCTCGTGCCCCACGAGGACCACCGATAGGTGGCCCTCTTTGAGCGAAACCTCCACGACCTCGTGTTGGAGGAGCCCCACGAGCCCTTGGTGGTGGAGGCCCACCCCTACTGGGGCGGGTACCACGGCTTCTCATGCTGTACATATCTTCGTAGCCATAGTAAGGGTCCTCATAGCCACCACGATAGTCATGATAGTCATAGCCATAGTAGTCATCATAGTAGTCCTCATAGCCATAGTAATCAGGAGGATAAGCATAGCCCCCCCTGCCACCACGACCCCTTCCTCGGCCAGGTGGTGGCATGCGAGGAGGTGGGTAGTAGTAGTAATCATCATACCTGTAGAAAAAATAAATAAATATATATATTTGATTAGTCACACAAACGGTAACACAGCTGACCAATTATGTGACCTTCTTACTCACCCGCCACCCCTGGGAGTCTGGCGAGCTGCCTGACGTTCTTTTCTCTTCTTATCTGGTGGCTTTGCCAAGACTATCTCGATTTCCTCTCCTCCAAGTTCCTTACCGTTCATCTCTTCCATAGCCTGATGTTGAGAAAAGTTAACTATAAATAACTGAGAATCATTATATTTGCATCATTTATACTTAAAAATAAAACCACCCACCTTTACAGCAGCATCCCTATCTTCAAAATGGACAAATGCGTAATCTTTCAGCTTTTTCACTCGTTCTAATTTCCCAAACTGAGAAAACGTTTTCTCAAGCAGCTCCTCAGTCACAGACGTGGCCAACTTTCTCACAAAGAGCACTTTAACCTGTGAATAAGGTACAGCTTGTCAGATCATGATGAACAAAAGGCTGGGAATGGAGATTAAAATGTGGACTGCTCACCTTTGCCATGACCTCTGGGTCAGGCTCTGCGACGGGGTCAGCCCACTCCACTGTAACTGGGTTTCCCCAAACTTTGACCTTGCCACTCATTAGGCGGCGGCGGGCCTGAGCTGCAGACTTGTGATCCTCATACTCAAGGAAACAGAAGCCACGGTTTTTCTTCTTGTCATCTGGCTGGTGATACAAGATCACATCCTGCAGTCCCTCTGCAAGATAATTTTACAAAATCTCTTGTTAAGAAAAAATACATTTTATAGCTCCTAATTAGATAGCAATAAAAGAGCTTTCTTTACAAGTGAAACAAACCTGTAACTTTGCCAAAGTCTTCTAATATACTGTCTCTGGTCTTATTCTTTGGAATCGATCCAACAAACAGGCGATTGTTTGCAACAGATATACACACTCCCAAGTACTTTCCAGGGCGGATTTCATGATTATCGCACTGTTAAAGAATCCAAGAAAACACATGTCTTCAACGTTGGTAGAAAATCCTACCTAAAGTACATTTTTAATAAAAGACCAAAGTACCAGAACAGAACCACGCAGAATGTGGTGTAATTATTAGTAAGGTTATTGATATGAGAAAAATTTGCATTTTTAGATGACAATATTACTTGCTTTGATTGTGAATACTTACAAGCTTCACAGCCTTTTGTGCATCATCCTTGTTGCAGTAAGTTATGAAAGCATAACCCCTGTTCTGACCAGACAGAGGGTCCATCATTAACCTCAGGTCCCAGATGGGACCAGCAGACTCAAAGAGTGGCACAAGCTCATCTTCATATAAATCCCTGGGGATTTTTCCAACAAACACCTGAAACAGGAAAAAAAACAGAAAAGAAAAAGAGAGACAGATTTAAAGCTTTGTTTATAATGCGTAATACGACACTGAAAGCATTTTATATATATATACATATATATATATATATATATATATATATAAAAAAAATAAATACATCTAAATTTTGATTGCTCAGTTTATCCTTTTTCGATCTGATGCTGAGCAGTACTTGCACTAGACAAATACAACAAGACTGACTATTGTATTAAATCTTTTTTTTTTATTCATGCTACTTACCTCAGTTCCAATCCCCGGTTGCGATCCTGTGAACACACTCTCAGGGGGAGGACCTCCGTACTTCCTCTGTCCCGTAGTAACATCCAGGGTGTAGCCTGTCCGCTCCAACAAAGCCTTAAAACACGCAAAAAATTATAAACAATAAACCATATCTTCAAGAAATGTATATTCAATATACTCTTGGGCTTCTACATTAGAAATCCAACAAAACTGCCAATTACCTTGATTTTAGATTCATCTGGACCCTTAGTTGACTCTTGGACCTTGCTTCCTTGTTTTTCACGCTGCCTATATGTCTTCATGACTCCACAAAGGAAAGCACTTTTATTCTACAGAGGAATAAAAAAAGACTGATTAGTATTGACAGCACTCACAAAAGCAAAATAATTGCTGCACCAACCAAACAGGTACCTGAACATGGGATAAGTCGCTTTCTTTAAACTGCTGCAGCACAGTAAGTGCTCCCTCTTCGTTGAATTCTCGTAGCGCATCAATAGCCCTTTCATCCAGGTCAGCATATGCCACCAACCCTGTAATGAAACTGCATATTAGCTACCATAATCAGTGGAGCATATAAAAACATACACTTGAAGGGCAGCTATTTTTGTTTGAGATTTATATGCCATGGCTGAAATCATCCACCTGTCTGGAAGATATTATCTAAACTTTCAGCCACTTTCTGGGGGAGCCCAGCATCAAGGAGAGTTTGGTAGTTTTCCGTATGTGTTGTCGTCACATCCATGGGTTCTTCTTCCTCCTTTGTAACAGCAGAGCTGCCATTCACCTCAGCGGCGGCCATTCTTCTGTAAAAAACAAAGAAAAAAACTGAGAGGTTGGCTCCCATTATAATATAATATATATTATAATGGGATATTATCAGAAATTCATGCAGATACAACTAAGACAGCAATGTTTCAGTTTAAAATTGTGGTCTAATTATATCTAGCTTGATATATACATTTAATACTTAGAATTCATATCTCATCAAATGGTTGCATGCTGCTCACAAACTCAAACAATTAACCTTATTAATATCCCACAAAACTACTGAAAAAAGTAAAATATCCGTCACTGAACTTGAAATAGATCTGAGTTTAACAAAAAGAAATCCAAAACAATATAGGATCTTAACACACCTACAGTATTTTAAATATTTATGGTTCAGATTCTTAGAAAAAAATTAGGGTAAAAAATAAAATAAAAAATACTATGCCTTTATAGTTAAACACCATAAGCAGTGTCCAATAGTATTTCGTTTTTATATTACTCAACAAGTCTGGGATTTTCGGGAAATTGTACCAAAAAGGGTTTAAGAAGGTTAAACAACGTGGTATGGTTTCTGTTTCGGGTTAAAATAGCCCGGGCTCACACAAATCTCCGGCAACTACAGTCCCGCCCCCTTCACATGCAGTCAGCGCCAAAGCTAAATGAAGAGCTACCTTATAACAACCCATTATAGGGATTTGCTAGCTACAGTGCATAATTATCACCTGCAAAACATTTTCCAACCCTTTTTCAAAACATAAGTAACATTTACGTCTATTTCTCCTTCTTCTGAAAACAGAATCAGTAGCTTGCTCTTTGGCTAGCTATGGAAGCTAACAGGCCTCACCGTGCCGAAAGACTCCCTCCACACGCCAGACACACAAAGGGCGCAAAAACAGCTAGTTAACAGAACTCACCGGCTAATTTCGGACAGTCAACCGCAACGTAGTTCGGGACGTAATTTTTTTAATATATTTCGTACGAACCAAATCAACAGAAGGACTAGCGTTTGTTCCGAACCCACGAGACAATTTTCCAGACACCAACGGTCTCGTCGTCGGCTCGCCCGAACAACGCAACCGATCACTACTATCGCGAGATTTGGAACGAGAATTCATGAAGGGCAACGGGTGGGGTGGGGATTGATTTTTTTTTTTTTTTTGGAACAATACAGGCGCCCTCATGTGGTCAGTAAAATATATTACAGTGTAACCATCAAACCAGGCAGCTGTCAAAAAGCCTACACGTAAAAACTAACAATAATACACGGGTTTAAAGCTTAAAACCTCTTCAGTACATACTTTAGGGTGGAAGAACTCTACATTATATACATGGGAATGTAGATTTTATAACAAATAAAGTGTGTCTGCTCAAATGTATTTTAATATTTGAAAAAACTGACAGTGTTTACTTGTCAGATCTGAGTGTTTGACATTTCTATTCTAGGAAAGCCTTTTATAAACCGTTTATAAGAGTCTTCATTTAAGGAATTAAACTTTTCTGCAAAGCCTGAATATTGTTTTGTATACTGATGTTTGCAAGTATGCAAACATTTTACAGACTGATAAAAACATTGTTTAGCTAAAATCAAAGTGATATTTAAATATGGATTGCATAACTAAGCTCTAACATTACCAACATAAATATTTTTTTATAATGTATTGTAAAGTATACCACATTTGTACCATGGTTTGTTAATGAATTAAAAATCTTGTCAGACTGGTAAACATTTAGACTCCCTTCTTGTGTTTATTTATACAAAGCTGTGCAGTTATATGGAAAAGAAAGGGTGGGCTTTTTGTTGTTGAGTTTTTACAGCACTAGTGGCTCGTTTTTCTGACAGGAAAGGAGGTATGAGAGAGGGGGAGAATATGCAGCAAAGGACCACAGGCCTGATTAAAACCTGGGTCAGCCACATCGAGGACTAAGGCCTCCATATATGGGTCGTGCACACTAACCGCTGTTCCATCTGTGTGCCCACATGGGTGTGCTTTCAATTTGAAATTACAGCATAAAAAGGGAACATATTAAGGAATGGATCAACTTATACTGGGGCAATTTATTGTAAATCCCTTTATTGTCCCACAATGGGGAAATTCCCTGTCTGTATTTAACCCATCTCCTTGGGTAGCAATGGGCTGCCATTGTACAGTGCACAGGGGGGCAGTGTGGGGTTAAGGGTTTTGCTCAGGAACCCAGAGTGGAGGCTGTGGGGATCAAACCAGCTACTTGCAACCTTCTCAGAGAAAAAGCGCACTGCTCTAACCCATTAAGTGGAGTGGTGGCATAGTGGTTAGAGCATAGATCTTGGAATCCTGAGGTTGTGAGTTCAAAACCCCCTCGAAGACCTGCCACTCTGGGTCTCTGAGCAGACCCCCCGATAACTCTGATGGCAGCCCACTGCTCCCTAAAGGGGATGGGTTAAATGCAGAGGTAAATTTGCTCTAAAATGAGATCAATAAAGTTCTATTATCATTTTTATTAGGATGTAAAAATAAGAATTTATTTTAAACCGCAAGAACATCTGTTATCCAGCTGATGAGACATGGATGAAAGCAGACTATTTTGTTTATATTTTTGTACATATAAAACTATTTTCTAATTCTAAAAAAAAAAAAAAAAAAGCTGACAATTGTACATTTCAGGAAGATGAATCACTTTATTGTTTCAGCCCTTACAAAGAGGTCAATATAACATCACGACCACATGATCTGCCTCCAACAGCAGAGGAAACTAGTGATATTCAGGTAATAAATGACAGCAGGCCCCTCTGACTCAATCATCATGTGACAGCTTTCTGATTTTGCCCTTGTGGCGGTCAATTTCTTTTTGTAGGCGTTCAATCTCCTTCTTGTGATGTTCAATCTCCTCTGCATGATGCTTCCTCAGGGCCTCCAACTGCTCTCTTTCCCTCTCCCTGCAAGCAAACAAAGTGCAGAGGGTTCAGAAACTCATCCGACACAGAAGCCTGTGAGGTTACTACTGAAGTCTCCAGGGTTCCACCTAAAGTATCGCTCCTCTTCTGCTGCTTCCCGCTTTCCAAACGCACCCCCTGCTGACCTCACATATCCTCCGCCTCCTCCACCTCTCCCCGCTCCTTTGCCCAGCTCACCAAGCTGAAAGATAGAGAAAAAAAAAAAATTTATAATTTCATGCCATACTTAATTATTTCTCATCATACAATATGTAGGGTCCCCATTCCTTTAGGGATGTCTCTTTCAATTTTGCCTTTTAAAGCACAGTAATGATCTTTATTGTGTTGAAATGTGAACAGTTAAGTTTTTCAGACCTTGCAGTAACTTTTTAAGCATGCTAGATTACAATTGACTTCATTTAAAAAATTTCCATCGAGCAAGATGATATTAAAACTGTCTTCTTCAACTTGTGTCGAACTGCATGTTAAAATGGCCATTAAAATACTATCCAATCAAAGCAAAAATAAAAACCTGACACTTTCATTGTTGCCAATATTCAAAACAAACAAACTGAAAAACGGATTCTTAACAACCTATCATGCTCCAAGTAGGGATGGCTCACAAGGACTTTTTCACAATATTAATTGATGCTTTCTGTGATAAAGATAACCCTTTTTAGAAAACTGTATGAGCTTGAAGGAGTCAAAAAAACAAATACGACTCTAAAACATGTAATTTTTTAGTCACCAAATGCATAGAAGGGTAAGTTTTTAATCTCCAAACTACAAATTATCAGATTGATCGATATCGATCAACATTCTCATGCGGGTTCTCATACTCTCAACAGGAGAGCAGCAAAATGCAAAAATCGCAACAATACTTTTATGAATTGGAACTAAAAGTTGTCCTGATAAAGACAAAAAATCTAAACAAAATAATTTTTTTCCCCCACAAAAGCAATTAATGCCTTTCACGCAGTTTTAAAAAGGGGCCTTCACTTTATGTGGGTGCGATGGGATTTATAGAGATTTTTCCTATAATCCCGCAGATTAAACTTAGGATAAGCAGCAGGGTATGTATGATCAACAGTATTGCTTTGCACTTTACAAAAATTGGAATTCTGCTGTGCCCACATCAGATAAAACAATTAATTGATCCACTTTGTATGTGCAGTGTTATTATAGTTTGGTGATCCATGATAAAAAGTTAAGACATTGAAGAAAAATCTTATCTTAAGAACTAAAAAATTAAAAATCTTGTTTTAAAATCTTTCATTTTTAAAGTTAAAATTCATGCCGATTCATGCATGAATCGTGGACAAAGCAGTCAGGGCTTTTCAGACTGAGTGCAACATATGCTGCCCTTCCCGAGGGTCAAAGTCACGGAGGTCAAGGCGAGACAGGTGGACCTTTTTACAGCCGATCAAGCTGAAAGCATGCAGACAGCAGGAGAGCTGCTCTGTGCATGCTTATTCAAACGTGCCCCAGTCCAGTCAGACCTTTTCCATGTCTGGGTGGACGCCTCTTATATTATCTGCACACGTGTTAGTGACTTGTTGATCAAAGTCCAACTTGAATTTCAAGTCATGTATACCTTATTCTGGAGATCAATACCACATGCTTCTTATTTCCAGTTCCTCATATCTTTGCCAGAAAAGAAACATCTACTGGATGGAAAAAAAAAAAATGGCAGCCTTGATCAATGGTCATGCTTTGACCCCCCCCTACATTTAAGCAGGGGTCCTGTCTGCACAGGAATTTGTTTTTTTATTTTTAAATAAAGCTGCATATTTTAGTTAGCATTTTGCTTTTGCCTTTAAAGATGCATTCTTAATATTAAAAAGGGAGATTTAGCTGCAAAAGACCTGATCGTGCAATCCTGCCTGGAATTGAATCAGACTGTTTGGGGGAGGGGCCGCAGAAATGTGTGTCAGAGGTGGGGAGCTAAACCAAAGCTATGCAAGCTACTCTAAGGTTGTAGGTTTTACTGTGTTTAGTGGTAATACACAAAATATATTGTTTAAATTTAACGACCAAAGTGCCAGGTTATAAAGAATTTTTATAAAGTTATAAAGAGATTTGTTAAAAGGTCAAACTTGTCTACAGTTAGCCCATATTTAAACGACGGCATAAAACGTTAAATTAAAACGTCAGGCTCCGATAGTTTAATAAAAAAAACTAATTTTAACCAAAAGTTGAATCTCTCAGTCAAAACTAAATTTGTATTTCAAACTTAATAAACCGAACGCAACAAGAGGAGCGTAAAATAAATGTCCAATCAGCATAGTGACTGTCTTTGTTGTGTGAATGGCAGATAAACTAAGGAAGCTAATGCTAATATCATGAAAAAGTCACCAATCCGCACGTTTACCTGGTCAGACGACAGCCTGATCTGGGTGGCTATGCACCTCTGCAAGTTTCCCCTCAGAAACAGTCGCGCCATAACCTGTCAGATACGATTTAAGTACTGCTTAGAAAGACGCTGAAGCCTCGTCCCCTCAGAAAACACCAACTTCTGGTCAAAAAAGCGGAAATTTGAAGTAAACGTCTCGAACTGGGCGTGGAAAAACAAACTGAGGAGAACGTGCGTGCTCGACACTGCCATCGCATGGTCAGGGGGGAGAACTACAACAGAATATAAAATGTTATAGCAAATATTTGAATGTAACTTAATATGTATGGAAGAAAATACATGATACCAAAAAACAAAAAAAGAAATTGTTCTCTTAAGTAAACATATTTAGAAAATGTACATTATTTGGCAAGAAAATATTTTCATTTTACTTGTTTTCTTAATGTGGTATATACAACAATTGGTATTCTATGTAAAATGGAACCACTAAGATTCATTGATTTTCTATAAATATATATTTTTACGAATATATATGTTGGGCAAGGAAGTCAGCTGTCTGAAACCCCTTTGCTTTAATGACAGCCGCAGCTCTTTTGCAGCATGTCCAAAGCAGCATTTTGCAGCTTTTTTGGCCAATCATAATTGGAAATAGACCAAGCTGTGTCAGGTTGGATGGATAGCCAGTGTGGAAAATCTTTCTTAAGACATGTCAGAGATTTTTTTTTAGATTTCCAGACTTGAACTGGGGCAACTGTATTGTAGCCTTAGCATCAGTCTCCACTGGAAGACAAACCTCTGCTCGGTCTCAGGTCTTTTGAAGCCTTTACCAGATTTACCTCTAGAGTTGTCCTGTGTTTAACTCAAAGCATTTAGGAGAATCTCTAATTTCATCTTATTCTTTAGTGGAATGTAAAAACTGTTTTTCCACTACACTACTGAACCCTCTCCATATGTATACATGGTTAGATTGCAAACTGCAAAAAAGAAAAGAAAAAAGCTTTATTATAGCTTTCCTCCTGCACTTATTGATAATGACTTAATTTGTGAAGTCCATATTACTTTGAGTTTTAGCTCAACTTTTTTTTGCAGTCAGATTCTCCCAAGCAAGGTGTATTGCCTTAGATGCATTTCTGCAGGTTCTCCAAAAGAAAACTTGTTCTCCATCAAGGATGGGGAAGAAGGTTATTGTTAGGGGTAAGACAGATGGACTAAATAAAAGAAAGTTCGAGAAAGAAAAGCCTGTTGCAGCTTGCAAAAGATTTAGACTGGGGCAGAGATTTAATTTTCACTCTAAACATACAACCAAAGCTAATCTAATAATTTAGCTTTTTTAATGTGTTTAGAAAGACCCATTCTAAGCACAAATCTAAAACCAACTGACTATTTGCAAAAAGCTTAAAGAATCGCATGTCACTCTTTATACCTAGAATTAAGCTTTATTGACGTTTAATTTTTACCATCTAAAATAGGAATTGCAATTATGTTGTCTTTTTTTCCCCTGTTCAAGCAATAATTCTAGTTTCCGGATCTTTTAAGATGTGGTTGATTCTTTTTTTTTCTGTTTAAACATTAAGAATTACTTGAGATGTATCGTAGATAAGATGGAAAATAGCCTTCTGTTTCTTTTCACATATTTGTACCTATGTCTGATGTCATTACACTGACGTTTGAAGCAATAGAAATTATATACGGAGGGTGCTTGTCTCTCAAGCACTAGATGAGACACTCTCAGTAACACAAAGGCAGGCTTTGCAATGCAAGCATTGGAGGTGGGTGTTCAGTACAGATGAGTCATGTTGGAGTTCCATTGATGAAGAGTACCCCAATGCCTGACAAAGCTTACCCCAGCACAGAGCTGCATGAGCTCACCATCCCTGACGAGCCCATTTTATCATCTGAATCCACAAGGGGTGAAGGTCGACAAGCCAGTGTTGGTGTGTTTTTTTTTTTGATGACGTGCTTCATTGTGTCAATCTATTAAACACAGCAATGACCCTATTGATGTGGAAGCACCTTGCTGCCCCACTGTTTTTTGTGGCATCCTTGGTCTCTTGATAAAAACAGGAGAAACACAAAGGAAAATAGGCTGAAGGCACAAGGGGAAAAAGAAACAAGAATTGGAGAAGTATTTGAGCTGTTATTTGCTCTTCTAGGTTTTATTTCTGACTGTTGGATGACATCTTTTCCTCAGAAGTAACAGGAAATGGCCAGAAAGAGGCAGTAGCAGCTCTGCAACAATTGGTGGCAGTGTGCGCTTACACAAAAGGAGAATTTATACTAGGAAATGCATATAAAATTAACTTAAATATTGACTGTTTGTCAATATGTTTAGTCACCCTTTGAATTATCTCTAAATCCTGCAGCCAAGATATGTTTTGCAAAGGATATCAGAGAGCAGAATAGCACAAACACACATGCAAATCAGTGTTTACCAATTTTACTCATGCAGTCATGATGAAAAGGATACATTTCTCCTAATATATGCTTGATATATGCATGAAAATGAGGCTTTATTATGAATATAATACAAATAAGAGTCAGTTAAGGTAGGATCTATGCAAAATTTAATCTATGATTGCACACTGAATGTGAGTGAACTAGTTTTTAATTTGCAATAATCTCTGTCATCTCTGCTTTTTCGCAGCTTTTTTAACAGGCATTTCTTTGCTATCTTTTTTCATCTATGGCCATACATGGACTTCCGGTGCGCAGTAGCCAGTTACCTAAATGCTGTCTGAGCTGCGCACCTCAGTGTTGCAAAAGGAAATTGCATGCTGTCAGCAGCACTAACTTGATCAAAGACAGAGTAAGGTCATACGGATGAAATAGAGGGATTTGATGCAATGGCCGTGTTTCATAATTTCTGCCCGCCAGTATGATCATTTAAATAATTTAAAAAATAATTCTAAGATTTATGCATTTTATTTAATTGACTCCACCAACAAAGCTTGTCCATTTTATATGCTATAGGCTCTACAAGTACACATGTTTTTCCATGGATAAGGCCTGTAGTCTGCTTCCTTGTGCTACAGCATCAATAATTTCACGGAACACCTCAACAGTCAGAAATGTAGTCATATCTGCAGGGAAAAACAAGTCCATACAATTTCTATGACTGAGCTCTTCTGTAAAGGATTTTAACATAAGATAAAAGGATGGTTGTGTTGTATTGATGTGAATGAAAATTTCAAATGCAGAAATCTGATTATTTTAAATAGTCAGATTCAAAGCATGGTGGTTTTTTTTAGATCTCTTAAGCTAAACCTTCTGCAAAACTTTTTATTTTGCATAAATACATTTATTCGATTCAATCAAATACAAATGATTGCACCAATCTGAATAATTCGGTGAGAGTTTAGTTGCGTAGAATAAACCCTGTTCAGTTCTCATCACAGTTTGTTTTATGAGCTGTGCTTTTCTCAGGGTCTGCTGGAGCTGAGATACATTGGTGTTAATAGCCATCATGAGCTGCCTGTTTGCTGCCTCTGTTGCCATGGTGACTACCAGAGCTGATAAAGGGGGTCCAGATCCTTTGTGTTCTCTGCATACAAGGTCCTTTCAATGCAGTTGCAGCTCAAATATTACATATCAATCCCACTTGCTTTGTTAGCAGGTTTCAAAAGACACATTTTGTAAAAATTGGTAATATACATATTATTACATTTGAAACAGCAAGATCATTTCAAAAATAAATACTTGCATCTAATCAGATTGGACTGCAGGTCAAGATTATTTGAAAAACAACTGAGTCTTGCAGCCATACTACAGGTACCAAACTTCTTTTATATCGCTCATTTTATACATAAAATACATTTAATGAAATATAATAGCGGTATTAGGGAAGCCTAATTAGTATTTTGCATAGTAATTTATTTAAGATCCAATCATTCTACATCAATGGCACTTATGGAAGTAATGAAGAAATTTGCAATGGAATCAACAATAGAAATGTTTTTTTTAGGTATATTCGTGGACCATAACAAGGCTTTTGAAACTAGAGATAACACTAATGTTCTACACAAACCCAGGAAGTATTGTATTAGAGGGGTAGCACATCATTGGGTTTCAAACTATTTAGAAAATTGAAAATAATAATTGCAGCTTAATGATTTAAAATCAGAATTATACGATATAAAGTGTGAAGTAGCTAAGTAATATTGATGGTACTGAAATTAATAGAGTAAAGGACGTTATTGGGTGTCTTGCTTAATGAAAATTGAAGTTGGAAATTACGTATAGATTATATCAAGGTAAAGCTTTTAAAGACAAATGCAATATTACACAAAGTAAATTATTTAAAGGATAGCAAAGTATTATACACTTCATATATCGCTATGATTGTTCCATGTCTAAATTATTGTGTAGAATGTAAAACACAAATTCAATAGTTTTCAGTTTAAAAAAACGAGCCATAACATTAATGACCCAAAAACACTATAGACGTGTAACGATCTGGGTTCTGTTGTTTTTCTTTAAGTTTTCTGTTTCAAGTTTAGCCAGGTTTTTCATTGTTTTCTAGCTTTGTTGGTGTGTCTGGATTCATTTAAGTTGCTTAGGTTTTTCTGTCTGTCTTCTGCTGCCTCCTTGTGTTCTTTTCCCTTGGCTTCCTCGTCAGCTCTAATCACACCTGTTCCCTATCAGCTCATTAGCTCTACCTTTGTTCAGTCAGCCATAAATACACTCCCTCTGCAGTCCCTCTTTGCTGGTTCCTCGTCTTACCTTTTCTCACCCTGGCTCCTTGATGGTTTTCCCCCTGATGTCTCCATGGTTCTGGTTTGTGTTTGATTTTTATGTCGGATTTTTTGGATTCCTGTTTTTGTTTAACATTTTTAAGTTGGATTTTTGGATACCTGTTTTTGTTGCCTGATCTCTCATTAAACCCTCCAAGAACTCACCTCTGCCTCTCAGCTTCTGCTTTTGGGTCCAAACAAAAACCTCAGAACCAAATCTTGACAAGATGGGCAACAAATACGCTTCTTCTATTAAAATTGTTTAATATTTAAAGCTTATTAACACATGTTACCAATGAACATTCAAAGAAATCTTTGAAAAAGTGAAAGCAATTATAATTTGGTGCTGAGATCTTAAAAAAAAAGTATTTGGAACAAAAGTGATGGAGCGCTGTGTTTCTGTCAAAGGAATCAGCTTACGGAACAATATGAGCAAAAAAATAATCAATATTTTATCTA